CATTAAAATAGAATTGTCCTCCTACTGTACCTTATTTCCTTCCTGAGTTATTACATGCCAAATTAGAAAGATATGTAACATTTCCCTTAAGCACACTTTTTTTGTCTTTTATCAGCAGTTTCTCAGCACGAGAGTGTCCAAATGTAATGAATTTTTGTAATAAATGAAAAAAACAAACACCTTTTACTTTCTCTAAAAGTTTTTTTTTAATCATACGATACCTACCTTTTGACTCTCGTTGCAATAGTTTTGGAGTTATGAGTCTTTACTTTTATGTATGTCACTCAGAAAAAAATACTTTAAAAATGCCTTCAGGGCTTGAAGGGTTAAACAGAACCACTGATTTGATTCTTATTGAATCTCTTTCATTGGGTATACATGTTTCTCCACTATGATTTTAAACAGAATGAAAGGAAATAACAATCAATCAGTCTGAAAGCCTGTAATAGACCAGGCGTTTCGTTAAAAAAACATATTTAAGAAACCTTGTCGGAGGTTACACTATTCAACATTTTTTTTTCTAGAAATTACATAAAAAAGATATATTTAAAATCGTTGTATTTATTGCTCTGTGCATGTTCACAGCCCCAAAGAGTGTTAATATAGTACATGAAGGCTATAAAAAGCAACGGTAAGCAATCTCATTCCTAAGGGATCTATAAACACGCCAGCCCCCCACAGTGAAATTGCCCGTCCCAGGGTTAGGCACTGAAGCGCTGCCTAATATGCTTGGCTGGCAGTGTCTCCGTTAGCTAGCGCGCACTCCAAACCCTCTCGTTTAGGATTGTCAGGCTAAGACTTCGCATGCCCGTTGCGTCCTGGAAATGTCACTAGCCAAAGCGGGCGAAGAGCCCACAGAGCGTTGCGAGGCACTCACGTCGACAGGTGACCAGGCGAGACAACATGATGGATGAGCACGTAGGGGAAAAGCGGCATGTTAAACAGAACAAATAAACTGCAGAACAACAGTTGGTGAACAAAAAAACATGAGCAGAGGCCGTGTAGAGGGAGAATATAAGAAATTAAAGGAGAGGCCAGACTCCTCCATCATGATCAGAACAGATGAGTCAATCACCACCCACTGCAGGCACAAAACACAGCTCCACACCCACACGTGCACACAGACACACACACTAAAGTACTGAACGGATGCCCCCGCAACCACTTCACACAGCTAACCTCTGTTCGCTGGGGTCCCATCCTTGATTTCTCCTGTAAAGCTTATCTTATTACAGCAGCTTCATCCCACCGGACACAGCTGTTAATTAGTTTTCTGCCCCTTCTCTTGTTTTTGACTCTCTTTTCTCTTTGCAGTGCCAGGTGTGCTTTCAGTTGGGAAGTCATCAAGGATAGTACAAGGTGTCCTCTCTATAGTGCAAATGACACGCATGCTGTTATTTCTCTTTGAGAGTTAATGAAATAAATGCTTTCTGCTGATAAAGGTAAATGTGACATGTGACAGATGCTGGGAAATAAAGCTCATCTGAATTCAAATGGATAGAGTCTTTCCTTTTCAAGCCTGTGATGTGCATCTTTTGAAAAAGTTTTGCTTTTGCGACATGCTTGAAATTATTTATTAGAAAATCTAATGCTAACAGCTGCATTACATGGGCATTATGGGAGGCATGGATTTGATTATTTTCTGATTCTTCAGTCCATCCACTAGAATCATTACACTCCAGAGGACACATGCAGATGGGGTGGCATGCTGCTTTTACAACCACTTTAAACACCATTTTTTTTTTCAGATTATTTTATAACCTGTAGCCATTATGACCTCATATAAATTAAAGTAATTTGTCACACTGTAGGACCCTTTAAAATTAGCTAGTGAAGACAAAAATGATTTAATACAATTTTAAGAAATAGTTTCAGGAACACTATACCATTCAAAAGTTAGGGGTCAGTAAGATTTTTTTTGACAGAAAGTAATATTTAGCAAGAATGCGTTAAATTAATCAAAAGTAAAAGAAAGTTCACTTACATGTCTTTAACATTTATAAAATTAAAAAGGTTTATTTCTATTTCTCAATTTCTCTATTTTCTTTCTATTTATCTTACAGATTCTACAAAAGTATTAAGCAGCACACAAAATAAATGCTTCTGAATAGAGACAGAGCGCAGCGCGTCATAATCTGAAGACCACGCCCACCGGGGGGTGGGGGTGGTTGGGGGGACAATCCAACCGTCTCCATTGACTTTGCATTGCGAGAGGCTGCCTCCTTGTCATTTATGACTTAAAACAAAAAAACAAAAAAAATGTCTAAAAGCTGCTATGTGACAAGGTGTACAGCAAACAAGCTAAATAACGCAGAAATAAATTTTTATGAGCTGTTGACAGCAAACAACGGTTGTTTCAGGACATAAAAGTGGATACAGGCAATACGACATGAAGCATCAGCTGGAAGAATGGGTAAACTGTGTGATCCTGATGTGCAGTAAACATTTTGTCACTGGTAAGTCAAATATCCAAATGTCAGTTTTATATATTATATTTATGCAAGCTAAACTGTAGCTAATGCATAACTAACACTAGCTTGCTAACTTATTTTAAGTATCGCTATCAACTGCACCCCAACTTCCCTATATATCTGGCTCTATTTTTTGTCCATAAATAATTTATTAATTTATAAATTGACATTTTCGTCTACACTAGAGAATCTTGGAAAAAGATTATACAAAGAATACATCATTCCAATAAAATGTCCCCTTTCTCTGTGTGAGTGAGGCAGAGAGGGGTGATAAACAAGCTTTATTTACCACAGTAGTTGTTTTAAATTAAGATACTGTTACCTAGATGATTACAATATCATGTCACGTTCCAGTGGGCGTGGCCTAAATACGCTCTGTCTCTATGATGCTAAAAATTCAGGTTTGCATCACAGGAATAAATTACATTTTAAAATATATTAAAATAGAAAACAGTTATTTAAAAATATATTAAATATTTCACAATAATATCTACTGTATTTTTGATCAAATAAATGAGCATAAGAGCATAAGAGACTTCTTACAAAAAGATTAAAAAAAATCTTACTAATCCCAAACTTTTGAAATTGTTCTACATTTAAATAAATACAATTTTAGATAATATACTAGTTCAACCAAAAAAAACAACAACGTATTTTCTTGTTATTTATATCATTCTAAACCCATAAGCATTTTTTCATGGAATACAAAATATGGCAGTTCTAAAGATCCAGAAAGGATAAAACACACGCACCAAAACACCAAACAGCCCCAAAATAACCACAACCATAACTATATGACTTCAAAAGACTTGGAATATAGTGCATGAGTTGTATGGACTATATTGATTGTGTTTTATTGTCTTTATTAGCCGCGTACCAATTTTTCAAACATTGCTATTTTTGTTTTCCTAGAACGAAAAAACAAGCAAAAAACAAACAAACAAAGGTATACTGGGATACATTAGGATGAGTAAATGATTACCAAACGTTCATTTTTGGTTTACTATCCCTTTAACCCATGGTGTTATTAAAAATAGGTTAATGGACATCTCTACCATCAACCAATATTGCTCATGTGCAAACACAAAATTCATCTCAAGCTCAACAATCCCTTGAGCATTAAAAGTAGAGTGCTAACACTAGTAAACATTACTAATAATGCAATCCCAAAACACAAGCAATGCAGAGACCTTGATGGAAACTGCAAAAAGCCTGAGAGAATGAGAGGGAGAGAGAAACAAAATGAAACGGAAGGAAAGAATACGGGCGAAAACAACAACATGGCATGGCAAGACGTGTTACGTGTACTTTGCATTGACTTTGAGCACCAGTAGGCAGCCACTAGCAAAGGCGAATCTGACAAGGAATAAATCACCCCACATGATGTCATTATAAATGGCCGTGGACGCTGCCATTCCAGCTGAGCAGAGGAAGTGTGAAGGAGAGGGTGACAGAACAGTGTGATGATGACTCGTAATTGACAACCGCACTGCTCTGCGTGACCACACGCGCCGAGGCAGAACAGTACAGCGCTAAAGCTCTTGGACAAATATTAGCCCTACTCAATAAACAGAACGTATCTGTTTCACTGATGTGAACTACGTCAACAGTAACCATAAACGTCTCCCGTGAATCTTAATAATGTTCCTTGACTTATCCTATATGTGTAGGATGTTGACAACTAAACTTGGTCTAATTCAGTATTACTTTAGCACTGCCTTCATAAGCAATCGTGCACACCATTCTGCACACAGGCCAAATGCACCATTAGCATGGATGCTATAAAGACAATAGAGTCTATAAACAATTATATATTGAGCACAGCCTTTCTCTCACAGTTTTTTTCACAGACGAGAAGTTGCATTTAACTTGACTGGCTTTTAAAAATAGAACTAAGCATTCTGGGAAACAGAACATAAACTTTTTTATTTAAAACATATCTTGAAATTGTCCTATCTAATAATGTATTCAAGAAATACAACTAAAGACCTTAAAAAAGCAATTAATACATATAATGAGTCCGATGAAATGAGCATGATTTTAATTTATTTACAAATTACTTTAATCATTAATTAACTCATTTAACTTTTAACGTAATTAAAACAGTTTCACTACTTATTAGTATTGAAAAAAATCTGCAAAATAAAATTCCTGTGGTGTGACCAACATGCAGAAAAAAAAGGAAATGATATCATAAAGAGGACCCCTGCAGATCCCCTTCAGATATAAGAAAAATACATTATAAATACATAATTTAATGGATATAGAAGAATTACTTTTTACTTGACGGTTACACCACATGACATTTTTAGAGTCCAAACATTTTTAGAGACCAAATGAAATCAACATAAATACAAAGAGTACATTTCTAAGAACTTGGCACATGTTTTAATTTTTTTTTCTTCTCTTTTCATTGTGGACATGTATTCACCCTTACACATTTTCCACATATCTGTCATAGATCTGGTATGAATTCCAAAACATACCACTGATAAAATAATCTTTAAGTACGTGTTCAGACACACTTACCTGCTTGATACCAAGTCGATAAGCCATGATACGGTCGACCGCATTGGGATTCATTTGAGTCCACTGAAGTTTGAAGCCGTAGACACGAGGTTTGTTCTGCCACAGAGCGCTGTAGGTGTCATAGTAGAACTCGGGTGCAAAGGCTTTACCTGAAAATACACATTGGCTTATTACTGTAAATTCACAGCCACATTTCAAGGCCAAAACCAACACTGAACAATTATTTGTTTTGTCCAAATAGAAAACTCAGATATAAACTTTTAATCTTGAAGAAAAAATTTAGACAGATGTGAAGATTTCCATGGATTGTGTTGGCTATAAGTTGCAGATACAAAAGTGGCAGATTCCACATTCCCTCTACATTATCACAAATATTCTCGATTTAGGATGTGTCAGATACATCATTTGAACAAAAAGTAAACCACAGGGATTTGTTTTATAAGGTAGGTCTGTCTTAAAGAAGTAATGTTTTTACACCAGTAATGCTTTTTTTCTAAGTCATGTTTATAAAAGCTACGTAAATGCCCTAATTGAACTAAGGCCTAATCCTGGCTTAGTCTAAGCCCTGTCTGTGAAACCTGGCTATAGTCTGCTGTTTAGACCGGCAGGTCAAATGTCTGGCGCACTGAAGTGATGCTATTGTGAATGCATTTATAAACCATTGCTGGTGGAAAATGAGTTAAAAAAGAGGAACGTTCTCCATCAGAGGTTCAAAGGAGACAGACACAAAGCAAAGTCATTAGGAGAGCTCATCTCTCTATCTGCTGAAAGCTGACAAGCAATGAAAAATATATGAAAACCCGAAAGAAAAAACTGTTTTGTATCAAGGACTGTCTGTTTCTTGCCGAACTAAAAAACACTCGCAGAATCAAAGTAAAAAAGAATAAATATATTATTTGCAGACAACAAATGCGTTAAGCTCATGAAATGAAAAGAAACTCTATGGTATGTCTAAAATAGCTGTTTTTACAGTACATTGCTGTGACAGCACAATTTGATAAACAAAACAAACAAAAACATTATTGTGGTTAAGTGGTAGAAAGGTCTTGTGAATGAATGCTGGAAAATTATATTGTTACAATAATTGGCTTTCATATTGACATTTTACTAAAACTAAAAGAAATTACTAAAATGTATTAAAGTTGTTTTAGAAAGCAGAATAAAACAGTAAAAATACGTTCCACAGTTTCTTCTTTTTGTCAGACTGGTCACTCCATCCAGAAGTTCACCTTTCTGCAGAGAAATTTTGAATGTCCAATTCGGTAGACACATCTTGGAGGGTTACATTGAGAAGAGCGAGAATGGAAAATTTGCTGATGTCTGCAGGTCAGGAATAAGGGCTGTCACCAGCACTTATTTTATCCCCAGCTTATTAAGAGGGAAAAATCTAGAGCCAATGCTAATAAGTCCATCGAGTTTACTCTGCTTAAGGATAAATTTGACTCCTCTGGGAATCAATGCTTGAGTGAAGGTGGAGTGAAAAAGCAGGAGCATCATACACACATGGCTCTTAAATCAGCCTAAGATGGAGAAAGATACATGTGGTACTGCATGGATCAGCTGTCACTTAGCAGAGAGGCAAAAGAAACACAGCGGCTCCTGCAGCCAAGGTTTCTCAGAGTGCGTCCACTGTGCTCTACAATGCAAATGTACACATGCTCTAAAGTGCAAACCTTTGATCCATTAGTTTCAGGGTTGGATCAATACCACAATTCTGAATTAACCTTGTCTCAAGGTACATCAGCATCTAAATGGATACTAAACCGACATCTTATGCAACAAATAAACAGCCACGGACAGCAGAAGAAATTAAATTCGTCTAAAAATAAATGTGATAATTTGACATCAATAACTCAATAATTAAATCTGTGCTTAATCTCTTTTGGGTTGGTATTCACACATTCACTTGGATTACACATGTAAACATTTTTGGTACTACTGATGCTCAATTCTTCTTAAAGCTAACACTAACAACCACTAAGCCTTGATTTATGTGTGTTTGCCTGTGTATATAGACACTATTCAAAGACCTTTAAAGACCAAGCAAGAGACCTCTGGGATGTGAATACCAGTAGTTGTGTAACTGAAGTTGGTTCAAGGTGTTCGTCATGCACATATCAGCACTGTCACAACAAAGGACCTGTGCTCATACTACTGCAATCCTCACCTCAGCACATAAGTACTTTATATTTGACTCCCCAGCAGTTTGCAGCCATCAACCAGTGGGGAGTACTTACTAACCCATCAACCGCAGGCACCCTGAAGCAAGGCCGTCCATAAGGGGGGATAAAGGGGAACGTTTTCTGGGGCCCAGCCGCTGGGGGGGCCCATGCAGTCCAGCAATAATTATGTTCATCCTAAATATAAGCAAAGGTTACCATATTTTATTTTTAACCAAAATAGCACCATTTATTGTTGAAAGTGAGAAAAAAATCCATTTTATTTAATGTTGCTTGAGTAAAATGTAGCCTGTGTCATAATGAAACACCCCTCTCCTGAAAATGGTCTGAGTAGGCTATTTTGTTGTACGTAAGTCAAAACGCCAGTGCTTCGCGAGTTCGCGCCAGTTCGCGGTCAGCAGCACAAGTGAGTGACACGATGGAGTGCGCGAATTGACACGGTAAGACCATAGACAGTAAAAGAAAAAGTAAGACCTATTGCTCACCATCTCCCCAGTGTGATTGAAGCAATCGATTGCCTAAAATCGTACTGTAAATTATCTAATGAGGCCTTATCAGATGCGCGAGGACTGAGAGAATATTTCATGTCATTTACAGCAGTTGTCATGTCATGTGCACCGTCCAGCTAAAACTACTACAACATGATGCGAATGATGCGTCTATGCATTGACTTTGTATGTAATCTACTTGCGCAAATAATTAAATACGCATTCGGTGTGAACACACCATTAGATATTGGACAGGTCGCGGGAATGGGGTTGTTTCATGACAATTTTCTTTTTTTTCATTGGTTGTTGCGTTAAATCGTACCCAGATACAATAGTGCTATTTTCTGATTGGCTTTTGTGTAGCTCGACTAACAACACAGAGGAGACGCGCTTGATTCTTGCCGGGTGAGAGCCAAAGTGAGAGCGTCGCGGCCAGAGATATTTTGTGCGCTGCGGCAAATTCTATTATAAATCGTTTTTCCGCGTGAGAAATACAATATGTGGCGGGAGTGCGTGACAAAATGCCGAAATGAGTGACTGTCATGCTCAATGCGTGACACTTGAGAGCCCTGTGTGTGTGTGTGTGTGTGTGTGTGTGTGTGTGTGTGTGTGTGTAACTATAGACCCCATCACTGAGTAAGTCTCTCTCAGTTAAATGTATGTGTTAATGTTGGAGAGAGAGAGAGCACACGCATGATATGAGTAGCCTATTGCAGATTTGGGGAGGGCCCATTCACTGGACCTTTTCAGGGGCCCAGTCATTTCTGTGGGCGGGCCTGCCTGAAGCAAACCACCTCAGATTCTTGAGCCAACTGAACTTTGAATGCAGCTTCCAAAAAAGAAAAGAAGAAGTAGAAGAAAAAAAATATATATATTTTATCTTTGACAAATAATGTCACACAATTTACATATCAAAGTTCAGTTGCATTTTAGCTTGGAATTATATTAAAGAATACGTATGGCTCTTTAACACCAAAAGTGAAATGAATCATCTGCATATCATGTATTTTATTCACACATAAAGTGCGAAACAAATACGCATCAGCCAAAGTAAATTCACCCAGTGAGATTAAATCCATAAAGTGTATTCAATTTATTATATTTAATTTATATATTTTTTATTATATATTATTTTAACATAATTCATTCATTTCTACATTAACACATTGTCTTATCGTAAAAAGGAACTGTATGCGTTAATACATGAACTACTATGAAAATGTTAAATTAATCAGAAATTAATACGATTATTTGAATCTCTTGTTTTTATTTAATAAATCGGTAGACTACTGTTCAAAAGGGTTTTTTTTCTTGAAAGAAATTAATACTTTTATTCAGTAAGGAAAGGATGCATTTAATTGATAAAAAAAGTGACAAGAAAGAAACTTATAAAGTTACAAAAGATTTCTATTTCAAATAAATGCAGTAGTAGTGGGAAGTTCGGATCATTTTACTGACTCGGATCTTTGAATCTCGTTCATCAAAATGAACAAATCTTTTTTCGAGTCATTTCGTTCATTTCAGCAGAATGTATTTAAAATGTTACATGTTAACGACCAAATTCCTCAAACACGTCAAATGTTGATCGCATTTAGAATAAGAAAAAAATCGCAATGCAAGGAATAGGCCAAATTATGAGAAACAGAAATGATTAATTCATTTATCTGGGTCTTCAGACTAGGCAGTCTGTTAGTTTACCTCACCTCCCGATCTGAGTCTTTCGTTTATCCCGTGAAATATCCAAGTGGCAACCTCCCCGTCTCTCTCTTGAAACCAACACGGAAGTTAATTAAACTGCAATTCATCGACTGACCGCTTGAGGCAGGCTGCAGAAGTGAGTCAAATCTCCCCCATGTTAAAATGCCCAACTTTACAGCAGAAAAAAACATGTTTACAGCCTGGAGCAAAAAGTGGTTTTGGTCTTTATAGCTTATTTTGCCCTTCATGGCAACTGTGAGGGGGGTGAATTTTTTTACAACTCATCCGTTTAAATTATATTATGCCTGCATAATTAAGGGCGTGGCCACTTGAGTGACAGGTGGATTGCGGCCGTTTGTGAGTCACTCTCAGCTAATTCCAGCAGCTGCTGTACTTGCCATCTCTGCCGTGTTTGTGCTTTTTTCGGGATAATTTCATACAATTTAATACACGCATTATACCTTCGCCCACGCCGTTGGATTCCGTTGTTGTCGTCGAGTATGGAGCATAGACTGGTATGGAGAGAACAACCAGCGCTGTATTTCCAGTTGTTTTCCTCGCATGCACTACATTAAAGTCCCTGTAAAGTCAAAATTAAGTATGTGTTTTGAGTTTGTCACACCACAGAAAAATGTGTTATTAGCCACCCGGCCAAATTTGAAGGATAAAAAAAGCCAGCAAGTACATAAAATAAGCTATCAAAATCTTGAAAAAATGAGCAGTAATCTCTGCTCTCAAACGCTGGGGGCGTATCCACTGGCTGCGCTGAAACCACTCGCGGGA